GTTGAGTGCACTTGTGGAGAAGAAACACTTATTTTGATGGGAAAATGTATATTTTGTTAGGGTTCTAAGTTTAGCTTCGCAAATTGTATCATGGACAAACGTCCACCATGCACATTGTAAACTCTGGTTTAGATTATATACGTATAGTTAAAATATTATGTACATGCAATTATATTGAATAGTTTGTTACCAACAGTAATGTGTGGTTTGAACCTTACTCACTGGGAACTTGAGGGCTTTTTTTTTTTTGTCAGATCACGAGCTGTCATGAGCAAATCCTAACTGTAAAATGCACTAAGTTCGAACTTTTTTTTTTGTCAGACCACGAGCTGTCATGACCAAATCCTAATTGTAGGAGGCACCAAGCTCGTACCATATTCAGACTAATTTCTGTTCGTACCAAGTCGGTCTAATTAATAAGCAAACTCTAATTGTAGGAGGCACCAAGTCTGTATCACAGACTAATTTCTGTTCGTACCGAGCCAGTCTAATTAAGGACAAAGTGTTGGTCAGATTGAATTTTTTATCCATATGAAAGGAGGTTCTAATTCTCAATTTTTCTTAAGAGACGAGTGTACGGTCACTCACACCAACCAAGCTGGTTAACTTGAGGACTTTTGTGTGCAATAGTATATGACCTATTGATGGAACAGTGGTAATTAAAAAAGAAAAAGTCAAATGTGTATGTGTGAGTGAGTGTATTACAGTAAATAATTCTTTTTAGAAAGTAGGAAGTATACAGCATTCAGTAATCCAACGGCTAAATTAACATGCAACTTTAGCACGTGCAATTCAAGCCATTGAGAGTTAAGACCCATTGCTAGATTTATACTAAAAGTAATCATCTCAAACGTTGTTAGTACGACATCGTATCGTTTCCAACTCCAAGCAAAGAAAGAAGGCGTCCGAAACTCCCGCCGTTTTCAGTTAAGTTGTTAGATTAAAAATTTATAAGTTATAACTAGTGAGGGCCCCACTATTCATAACGGCGTCATTTCTGAATTCTTAATCCGTTAAAAGGGGGATATATGACTGAAATATGCGGTCAAAGGCCGCTATTTTCACAAATGTGTTGCTTTTTTTTTTGGGGAAAAATGTCAAATAGACCTTCAAACTTTAACTTAAAAATCAATTAGACCCCTAAACTTTTTAAAGATTCAATTACACCCATCAACAATTTATTTAGGTGCAATAAAGCCCAAAAACAAGTTAATGACCTGCTACCACAGGTAATTATTAGGGTTCAGGCCACCTTCCGGCGAATTTTCTGACATAAAAAAGGTAACCAGCAACCGACCCAGATTTGCCGAAAATTTCGTCGGTCACTTCTTTTGTCGAAAATTTCGCCGATCACTTTTTTTTTTTGCTAGAAAATTCGCTGGAAGGTGGCCTGAACCCTAATGACCTGTGATAGCAGGTTATTAATTTGTTTTTGGGCTTCTTTGCACTTAAATGAATTGTTGATGGGTGTAATTGCACCTTTAAAAAGTTTAGAGGCCTAATTGACTTTTAAGCTAAAGTTCGAGGGCCTATTTGACCCTTTTCCCTTTTTTTTTTTTTGACATGAATGTGCAAAACTCAGTTGTGAGTTGCGTTTTTGCTTGTGTCCCGCCCTTTTTTTTTTCGTATTTACGTAAAACGCAACTACGAGTTGCGTTTACGAAATCGTATACGTAAAACGCATTACGGGAACGCGTTTTTGGAGGAGATACGGTATCGTGGAAAACGCAAGTTAAATTTGCGTTTTACGTATTATACGTAAAACGCAAAAGTGAGTTGCGTTTACTGGTTTTGTACACTGTCTCTACGCTCTGCTCTCTCCTTCTTCATCAATGGCGGCTTCCCCGTTGTCGTCATCGTCGATTGGTAAGCCAGAAGTTCCGCCGAGTTCGATTGAATTCTTGTGTCTAGACCCCGTTTCGTCGAAGTGGAGCTAGCTCCCAAGCCCGCCGCCGGAACCCCCTCTGCGAATCCTCCACCGCCACCCTTCCTTTATTTCTAGAACCCTCCCTGTCCAGTCACTTTCCTCTAACACTTCTTAGCTCATCACCAAATCTTAATCGCTATTCTTTCATGTTGTATGTATCTAATACATTAGAAAATCCATAAGCATTCCACATTAACACTTGTTTTTTTACGTTAATTCTTCTGTTAAAACCCAAATAGCTTCGCGCGGAGCTTGTTTCTGGATGAACAACTGCATGGCTAGACTGTTGCAATTTAGCCCTTGTTCTTCCTCCGCATTCCACCGCGAGACGTTTTGTTATTCGAAAAAGTTCGCTGTTTCGCCGCGCAGACTCTATTCCTTGAATTGGGTCTCGGGAATTTGTGGTCAACTCCAACCAAGGAAGCATTTTGAGCTCATGTCTTCCAATGGCTACCCTCTCAATGCCGTTTCCGTGTCTCTGCAAGATGGTGAGCTTTGTTTCCTTGCACTCTTTACACCTATTTTATCATTATCTCGTCTGTTTTTGTTATTTGCTCAAATTGGGTATCGTTCAATTGGTTTTATATAGCTTTATTTGATTTGGGAATTGAAGTACCATCTTTGAGTAGTTGCATAAATACTTAAAAACCATAACTTTACTAATTGGCTTAATATGGTGCAAATATACTTAGTGCCCCAAAACTTTTTAAAAAGAATGTCTGATGTTTGAAAAAGGCTCAGCTGCAATGTTGCCAGAAGTGGAGCTAGCTCCCAAGCCCGCCGCCGGAACCCCCTCTGCGAATCCTCTACCGCCACCCTTCCTTTATTTCTAGAACCCTCCCTGTCCAGTCATTAGCCGTCTCCGACAGGCTTCTCCTCGTCGCCGGCACCACGCACAACTTCCTTCCCGCTCTCGAAGAATACCGAGTTGCGTTTTTCGTATTTTAAAGTATTATACGTAAAACGCATCTCCCAAATGCGTTTTAACGTATGCTATACGTATCATGAAAACACATTTGACATATGCGTTTTACGTATACAATACGAAAAACGCAACTCCTTCTTGGCGTTTTAAGTAAATTATGAAAAAAAAAAAATACAGCCTGGACAACAGCAAAAACGCAAGTCAGAAGTTAGTTTTACACATTTATGTCAAAAAAAAAAAAAAGTCAGCACACATTTACGGAATTTCGACTTCCCCCTACACATTTCATTCTTTTATCCTTAAAAGGGCCGCCTTTGCATCCGTCGGAGAAATAACATGGAGATGGATCGATTCCCTTAAATACCCTTACTCTTTAACTCAATTAACAAAATGACCATTGTTTTTCTTTTATATATTTTAAAACTAGTTTTATGATTTAATATCCAATATTTGAAATTAAATAAGTAATTTAAAGTATATCAAATGCAATATTATATAGGAGAAGTTCATTATAATTTGCATTAAAATTAATTTTTAATTTTCACTTTTCTAAAAATAATTATCTATATAAGTTTTGTTAATTCACTTTTGGATAGCTTTGTCATTGTTTTCGTCTTCATTGTTTGTCTATTTCTTTTTGGTTGGTAGTATCTCATGTGCAATTAGATTACTGGTGCTAGTTTAGAAAAAGAACAAATTTAGTCTAATTAGTTTTGTTACATTAAACAAATAGATGCATGGAATCTCTAAGTTGATTTTCATACACTAATATTTATAAAATCGGCCATATTATTTTTAGCCACTGATCATCCTATATTGATGGATAAAATTAGGCCACACTTATCACGAGAAACCTAGATCACATTTGATCATGAATAAATAAATAAATAAATAAATAAATAAATAAATAAGTAAATAAATAAATAAATAAATAAATAAATAAATAAATATATATATATATATATATATATATATATATATATATATATATATATATATATATAGACACACACACACACACATACACACACACACACACAAGTTTGCGAGAAAAAAATAATGGAGAAATTTTTATTTTTTTTAAAAAAAGTCATTGTCCATGCATTAAATATGAAATTTTAATATACACACATATATGTATGTGTATATATCTTTATTATATATTGTTTATATATTAATTTATTTTTATTTTAATTAATAAATTAATTTTTCATTCTTTTTATTCTAGTTCCTATTTGCTCCCAAACAAATTGATTCATTATTCTCTTTAAGCCCATTACAATTACCAAGTATTTGATTCTCATTACCATTCTTATTCCAATGTTTGAACCAAACACACCCTTTGTAATGGTAATAGGTTTAAATAGAATCATACTCTTTGCTTGATAGTGAATATGAATTGGAATCAACATAAATAAATAAATAAATAGTCAAACATCTTGTGTTCAGATGGCATGTGGTGACCTTTCCCAATATAAATAAAATAAAAATAAATAAATATATAAAAATATATATTACATATGTGTGTGTACGTGTAAAATTTTCATACTTAATGCATGGACAGTGATCTTTTTCCCCTATTTTTTATTCCATTGTTAAAAAATATGAGAGAAAAAAGGTAATGAGTTTTATAATTACTTAACAATTTGAATCTAATCGACAAACAAATATAGTAATAGGTATCAAATATAATCCTATAGTAAAGTACAAAAGTTTCCGACCAAATACAACCTTAGTGCAAACACTCGTGTATGCAATGCACATAACATGGAGGGGTGACCGTCATGGATGAATTTTGACACTAAAACAATAGTGGTAGATGAAAATTGGTACTAAAAAATAGTTGTGAATGAAAATTTGTAGGAATCAAACATATATGTGTATTAAAATTATCATTTTACTAATACTTGTGGGACTAAAATTAGTATTTGCTCAATTAAGTTTGTGGGAAAAGACGACGAAGACCAGACGGAGAGACCACAGATCCAATCGTAGTTAGCCCAGTCGATCTGCAGATTATTCAACCACTATCTATATATGCAATTTTCCTCCATGTGACCTAGGGTTTTCCTCTTCCCCCCCCTGCGATCTAGGGTTCCGGATTACGTGCATGCGAACAGCGCCATTGGAGCAGCTTGCTAACCTCCGATGGACGTGCAGGAGATAATAACACACACGGCAGACATCACGCTGGACGACGAAGAACAAGGTGTCCGGTTCGAGGATGAAGATCTCGGCGTCCAAGCCCTACCGGCGTCGAAGGAAACCTGGACCATTGTTGGCCGGTTTTTGACAGATCGGATTCTCAAGACCGAGGTGATGAAGCGTGTTATGGCTTCGGCTTGGAAGCCTCTGATGGGTATTGAGATAACGGATGTGCAGCCCAATTTGTTCTTGTTCACCTTCTTTGATAAACTGGACATGAAACGAGTTATGGATGAGGGACCTTGGGCATTTGAGAATGCGACGCTGCTATGCCAAGTCCTGAACGATGGTGAAGATCCACTACAGGTTAGTCTAAACACTGTGGACTTATGGGTACAGGTTTCGGACATCCCCCAGGGATACCGTACGGTTAAAGTGTTGGAAAGAATTGGAGACTATGTTGGGGTTTTCTTGCGCTATGATGAACGAAATTTTGAGAGACAGTGGACTTCCTTCTATAGAGTTAGAGTCACCCATGATGTCTCAAACCCCTTAAAGCGGCGGATGAAGATGATTCTGAGAGATGGGTCCTGGACATGGATTAACTTTAAATATGAACGCTTCCACATGTTTTGCTTTTTTTTTTTTTTTTTTTTTTTTTTTTTTTGTGGAAGAATGGGCCATACGGATAAATTTTGCTTGCAAGCTCGCCGTTCGTTGTTGAGGCCGGAACAGTATCCGTTTGGTGTGTCGATGAGGGCGGGGGGTACGAGTCCGGCGAAGGTGTTGGGGGAAAAATGGTTTCAACTAGGCCAAGAGAGGAGGCGTGAGATTGGCTATGGGAGTGAGGGAGGGAGAATGGCGGTGGGAGTTGGGGTGGGAAGGAGTGGGCAGTCTCGGGTGGAGGTGACTAAGTCTACGGCTGGGGTGGGTTCGGGATTTGGGGGTGTGGATGGGGTGGGCGGTGAGGGCGCTGGTGGTGAGGGGGTGGGGGTTCGGGTAGATCCGAAAAGACGGAGGACGGACATCGGGGAGGTGAGTGCTTTGAATGGGGACATGGTTGTTGATTCTGATTCTTTGATGGCGAGACCTGTGGATCAGGTCCGCCGGTCCCAATGAGTACCTTAAGTCGGAACTGTCGTGGCTTGGGTAATCCACAGACAGTTCGCAAGATTGAGGACATGGTGTCCTCTAAGAAACCCGACTTTGTATTTCTCATAGAAACCAAGGTTGACCGTGATCATGCGGAGCGTCTTCGGGTTAAACTTGGTTTTGATGGATTTTTTTGTATTGACAGTTCTGGTTTGAGTGGTGGATTGGCTCTGTTGTGGAGAGCGAATAATACAGCGAGATTGATTAGTTATTCCACAAACTATGTGGATGTTGAGGTGACTATGCCGAGGTTTGAAAAGTGGAGAATGACTGGCTTTTATGGCTTTTCACAGAGGGGTCAAAGGAGAGACTCGTGGGATCTTATTCGTACCTTAGCTGGCAGATCGAATCTACCGTGGGTGATGATTGGAGACTTTAATGATTTACTTTATCAATCTGAGAAGCGAGGTGGAAACCCTCATCCACTGAGTTTATTGCATGGGTTCGGTGAGACTATAGAGGAGTGTCGATTAGCGCAGATGCCAATGATGGGATATCCGTTTACCTGGGAAAAAGGAAAAGGCACACCGAATTGGATAGAGGAAAGATTAGACAAGGTTTTGACTAGCCAGAGTTGGCGTGAGAACGTGCTGGATGCTAGTTTGCAAAATATATTAACCTGAAAGTCCGATCATTCTGCTATTTTCCTTGGGATTCTGAATCTTCGGGAAAGGACGGGTGGTCTGAGAAGAGGGTTTCGTTTTGAGATGGCATGGCTGCACGATGAAGGATGTAGGGATGTGGTGGAGAAGGCATGGAATGAGGGCGCAGGAAGGGGGTTGCAGGAATGTATCTCTATTTGTGGAAATCGTTTGTCGCGTTGGGGAGGAGAGCGTTTTCATAAGTTTGGTGAACGGATCAGAAACCTGCGGAAGGAACAATTGCGTCTGAGGGGGTGTAATGATCCGGTCTCATTAGCTGAGTTCCAACGTTTAGAGGAGTGCATATGTCGTATTGAGGCCCAGGAGGATACATACTGGAGGCAGAGAGCCAAGTAGCATTGGCTTAAGAACGCGGATGCTAACACGAAATACTACCACATGTATGCATCTCATCGCAAGAAAAAGAATACTATTTTAAAAATTATGAATGATAGTGGGGATTGGGTGGAAGGTGAAGCCATGAGGAATGTTATATACAACTATTATAAGACTATCTTTACCTCCGACTCTCCAAGTGATAGTGGGGAATTCTTTGGAAATATAGCCTCTCGGGTAACACAAGTACAGAATGAGTTGCTCTTGCGGCCCTTTGATGCTAGTGAGGTAAAGGGTGCTCTATTTTCAATGTTTCCTGACAAAGCACCAGGACCGGATGGAATGAATCCGGGTTTCTACCAGCATTTTTGGGATGTAGTGGGTGGTGATGTATCGGCCTATATTGTGAATTGTCTTAATACTCGCTCGTTTCCAGCTCGCCTAAATGATACAAATATAATATTAATCCCTAAGAGGAAAACCCCTGAGATGGTCTCGGATTATAGACCGATAGCACTGAGTAACGTGGTATACAGGATTATGGCTAAGGTTATAACTGCCAGGATGAAACCGCTTATGAGGGATATTATATCTGACACCCAAAGTGCTTTTATTTCTGACAGGCTAATAACAGATAATATTTTGATTGCTGCTGAGATTGGACATTTTTTGAACAGAAAGTAATGTGGAATCACAGGATGGGGGGCTTTGAAACTGGATATGGCAAAAGCCTATGACCGAATGGAGTGGCCCTTCTTGCGGAGTATGATGTTAGCATTGGGCTTTGATGAAAGGTGGGTGGATTTGATAATGCTGTGTGTGACCTCAGTTTCATATAGTATTCAGGTTGGTGGAACACGAAGTGACCAGATCATGACGACTCGTGGATTGAGGCAGGGTGATCCACTATCACCTTATCTCTTTATTATTTGTGCTGAGGGACTTTCATTGCTACTACAGCAGGCACAATTGAGAGGAGATTTACATGGGTGCAGAGTAGCTAGGGGAGCCCCCCCTATATCCCACTTATTTTTTGCAGATGACAGCTTACTCTTTTTTAGAGCAACTGCGCAGGAAGCCAGTGTGGTAAAACAGTGTTTATCGGTGTATGAGGAAATGTCTGGGCAAGCAGTGAATTACTATAAGTCAAGTATTTGCTATAGTAAGAATACGCGGGATGAACACAGAGAGGAGATTGCCAGTATTTTGGGAGTGGTTCAGGCTCCGAATTTTGGGAAGTATTTAGGACTTCCATCATTTGTGGGCAGGAATAGGAGAGCAGTTTTCTCATATATTGATGATAAGATTAGACAGCGGATTGGGTCCTGGAATAAGAAATTGCTTTCACAGGCAGGTAAGGAGGTCTTATTGAAAAGTGTGGCACAGTCTATGCCCACTTTTTCTATGAGTGTCTTTTTACTACCTATGAATACTTGCACAGCCATTGAGAGAGCTATGAATCGTTACTGGTGGAGATCTAAGGATGATCAGGGCATCCATTGGAAGGCATGGGATAAATTGTGCATCCCTAAGAAATATGGGGGATTGAGCTTTAAGGAGTTGCATGCCTTTAATTTAGCAATGCTGGGGAAGCAGGCCTGGCGTTTACTCACCAAACCTGAATCATTGGTTTCCAGAATATATAAAGCCAGGTACTATCCTAAAGGGACATTCTTTGATGCTTGTATAGGGAATAGTCCAAGTTACTGCTGGCGTAGTATTATGGCTGCACAGGAATTAATTTGTGGGGGAGTCAGACGCAGGATTGGAAATGGGAAGTGAACTCTTATATGGGATCACCCATGGCTTCAGGATGAAAATATTGCAAAAATAATCACTGACAAACCACCATACTTGGCGCATGCAACTGTAATGGGATTAATAGATCAGGAAGCGGCGGCCTGGGATCATGATATTTTAACTGATATTTTCATCCCGGAGGATGTGACACGAATATTGAAAATACCTGTGTCACCAGATTATGAGGATATGTGGTATTGGCATGGTGATATAACAGGAGAATACTCGGTAAAAAGCGGTTACAGGCAAATAGTGAGAAATTATGAACAGACGACAGGGATGTTTGATAAATGGCCCAAATTATGGAAGCTCAAAGTACCCCCGAGATGGAAAACATTTTTATGGAGAGCCTTGAATAATATATTGCCCACAACAACGAACCTCATTATAAAGAGAGTGGAGATTAGCCCAACATGTGCTATGTGTGGGATTATGCATGAGAATGTTATGCACTCTTTGGTTAGATGTGATTATACAAGAAACATTTGGGCACAATCTCACCTTCCAATCCCCAATACTATCACAGATATTTTCCATGCTTGATTTAATGAGATATTAAATATTCTAGATGATGATGGAATTATTTATGTAGTAGGCCTACTATACTATATATGGCGAGCAAGGAATGGAGCTGTGTGGGATGCATACTTGCCCAGACCACAAGAGATAATTGCAACTGTAACCGCAGCGATCCGGGCATGGCAAATTGCACACCGGGACCGCCCGCAACAGCAACACGCCCCGCGTGGATTGCCTATGGCAACATCCGAGCAGCGCCAAGGAGTGGCACAACAGCCTGCCGCCGTCCCGCCCACAAGCCACACGGCTGCCTCCCCACGGAATAAATGTTACTTTGATGCGGCCTTTTTCCATGCCACAAATAAGACCGTTGTTGGGGCAATTCTCCTAGACGAACAGGGATCGTATACCACAGCTCTACAGGCGCCATTGATAGACTGTTTCTCCCCGCTTATGGCAGAAGCAATTGCATGTAAAGAAGTGTTATCCTGGCTATGGGATCGTGGAGAGAGATCGGTAGACATACTAACAGATTGTTTGTTACTACAACAGTATTTATCACAAGCGAAGGATACACCACGTTCATACCTCGGCTATGCCATTGATACCTGCAGAAACCGGATGGTTTCCTTTGATTATGTTTCATGTAATTATGTTCCTAGATCGGATAATTGTTTAGCACATATTTTAGCCACTTCGGCCTTTAATTATTCAGCACCTATGTACTCGGACAATGGTTCGCCAGACTCTATTTCAGCATATTTCCAATAAATGCCGCACAGGCTCTTTTCAAAAAAGTTTTAAGGGAAAAAAGTTGTAACTTAATAAGTTAATAGCTACAAATGAATAAAAGTTTAACATACGGTAACAACACTCAAAGATAAAAATATCAAATGTACCTGATATAAAACACAAAGTATAACTCATAATATATACTTAACTCTTTTTCTTAAAAAAAAAATATATTTTTCAACGATATAATCAAAGCTTCCACTTATATAGCTTTGGTATAAATTTATACATTATTTAGTTTATTTATTTATTTAGGAGTTATTTTTGATTTGTTGTGTTTCTCATTTTAATAAAAATAATAGTACTACGTATGTTAATTCAAATAATTAATTCTTTAATATGTTGTAAATTGAGATAATTTTGCTTATTGAGGTCTGAGAATTATAAAGTTAGTTATAAGGTAATTAAAATTTTGAGATAGCAAAACAACTACCTCAAACACGTGCATGACAAAGTAAATTAATTTTGAAACCTGATTTCGTCTATTTAATGGAAACTAAAGTGGGACGGGAGCATGCAGAGAGACTACGTGTTAAAATTGGTTTTGAAGGATTGTTCTATGTGGATAGTGTGAGAACTGGAGGTGGCTT